CAAGACCTCTCTGGACCTGTTAGTGATGCCCCTGTTGATGCATGACAGGGTGTGGTTGGCTCTGCCTATTGCTTCATCGCATTGGCAACTCATATTCATCCTGGAGTCAATCATGACTCCAAGATCCCTCTCTGCCCCTGTGCTGCTGAGAGGGTCAGCCCTTAACCTATAGCCATAATGGGCCAGACTTGGGCCATGCAAGGAAGAAGCATGCCAGTGTTGGAGCAGGGTAAGCTGGGGAGGGCAGAGGCTGCAGGGGAGGGAGACGGGGGAAAGAGGTGGCAATGAGTAAGGGCAGAAAGAGGTTGTGGGGAAGGAGGCAGGCAGCAGCTGCAGCTCTGGGCCAGAGCCTGAGTCATAGCAGCCACCTGTGCCCCAGCCCTTCCATCTCATACTTAATTCCAAGATGAGAGGCTCTCCCCCCCACCCTCATGTTAAACATTGAGAGAAAAAAAAAACCTCATCTTGGATTTGAGTAAATATGGTAGTACTCCTCCAAAAAGAGCAATTCAGACTTTAAGAAGGCAAGTTAAGATATTTGGCCTGCCTTTTTCATATTTCTGATAAAGTAAGCAGAGTTAAATTTTCTCAGGGGTAGGTTTTGGCAAAGATAAAAGAATGGCAAACTGACTGGACGACAAAAAAAATTCTTAATAAAAGAAGATACAATGACCACATTATACTCTAGAATCCTGAGGTTTCCACTTACAAATATGATGCCATCTTAAAATTATTCTTAAGATTCTGGAGGTTAAAATGTGATTTAAAATCAAAGCTACCACAAAACTTGCTTTTCTATTAATAGAGCAGTTTCCAAGCAGTAAAACACCACAGACTTTAAATAACAGCAGTATTCCTTAAACCCATTAGTATTCCCCCCCCTTTTTTTTTTTACCCAGAGCCTACATCTATTTAGCAGGTATACTGGGCAATAATGATCACTCATGCTCATTCTTACCAAAACATCCCTGTCACCCAAAGTTACTGGGAACTGCAGTAAAAAAGGAGACGAAATAGCACGCACCTTTTTACACAGACATACGAGACATGACATAGAGATGCATGTGTGCCCTGACACATCATGGACACTGTTCAGTTGTTAGTAAGCAAGACTGTGATAGATCCAGATTACAGAGACATCAATACAGCCATGCTACCTTTAGCCCTGTGGCACAGTGAAGAGAGCTCATTACGCATGTGCTACACAGCTGAAGAGGGTATGGCCACAGTCCCTTGCTGTGATCCTGGAGGCCAGTGAACTCTCAGAGCTCACTGGCTTGTCAGCACAGCTCCATATGTATCAGCAGCTCTGAGTTCACTGGCAGTCCCTACAGTCAGCTCTGGATCTCCCGCAACCTCCCCCCAATTTGACAGCAGAGGAAGAGAGGGGACGAGTGGTGGCAGAGCATATACAATCCCTGAGCTCTGTGGAAGTGAAGATTAAGTGTCACTGCTGTTTATTATCCCTTCCTTTCCCTTGTTGCTGAATTCATGGAAATGAGTGAGGAGGCATGCAGGGAGAACTCAAACAAACAGCAGCAGGCTCCGGAGCTGCTTAAAAAGTAGGGACTCTGGGCAGACCCCACACTGATGGGTTCACAGACTAGGAACTGAAATTACACATAAACTGATGTAAGTGATCAAAAACCAGTTCAAATCTGTAACAAAACAGAAGTTCAGTGCACATAAACCACTTTCAAAATGGCCAAAACCAGTTTAAGATAAACTTGGATATACTATCAGACTTAACTGATTTAGGTTAAACCAGTTTATTGAACTTCTGTTCCAGATTCTCTCCAGATTCAAGTTAACTCACAGTCCCCCAGCATCCAAGAATGCTTTGCATCTCCCCCAAAAATGCCCCCTCACAGGGTGGACAAGCTAGCCATGGCCCAAGCTGTCCACTCCAGCTGAGCAGGGAGGCGTGCTTTCATGCCCCCCCAATCCCACTCCAGCTTCTGACCTGGGCCACTGCAGGCATGTGGCTGCATTTCTGAAATCAAAAGTGAATGTCTGTTCACCTACGCAACTTAGACAAACCTGCAAAGATTTAATTGATTCAGCCTAGGGTTTTTAGATTGTCTGTATTTTGCCACAGAGCCCAGGGCACATGCATAGGTCTCAGCTCACTGGGTATGCAGCACACAGCCAAAGGGGGGAGAGGAGAGAGAGGAAAGAAGAGGGGAAACACACCACTACAACGCCTCTGGATCCACCCCTGAATAAGCTCAATATTTGAATAGTCATACGTGGAAAAACTGAACTCGCCCCCAGCAATCAAACTGGATAAGTAGTGTCTATTCTAAGTTCTACCCACAGAAGATAAAATGAGAAGCTACTCATAGTAGATTGCACAGATGATCAAACTATGATCATATGCACTCTGCTGGAATTCAAGTACAGGTCAAGCAAGTGACCCCCAACTGAATTCCCAGTACAAATCTGTCGGGGACATGTGTTGACAGTAGTGGATGAGCAACAGCTGCATTAACCTCCATACTACCACTGCCATCTCTGAGGCCTGCAGGCCAATGAAGACCAGTGAGGAGGGGTGAGCTTGACACCCCTCTGCTAGGGTATTCTCTTAATTCTTGTCAGATGCAAATTTAAGATGCTAAATGTTCAGAATATGCTATTCCCAAAATTTTTCTTCAAACTGAAGGAAAGAAGAGGTTGACAGAAGAAAAAAGTTGCTTCTTTGTAAGGTGCAGGGAATGAAGATTTAGAGTATCCTAGCCCCTAAAGTGTAATTCTTTGGGTTTCCCAGCTTGTAAACAAAGCTTCATGTACTCTTCAGCAACTATGCCTACTTTCAGCATTATTAGTCTGAAGTGAGGCAGGATGGCACCTTAGGATGCCTGTAGATGGGCAGAGATGCTGCTCCAATGCATTGTTATTACAACGCATCAGAACAGACTCAATTAACAGTTTGCTGGAGCATGCTAATTAGCGCACTCTAGCAGCCTCCATGTCTCGAGTATTCAGCATTCACACAAACAAAAAGCCATGATTAAAACAACAATTTCATGGAAAAAGGGATCCTGCTGGCAAGTTGTGTGTGATGATCATGGAGGAATTTACGTATTAACCAGTAAACCTCAGAAGAATTTGACTATCACCTCAAGCCAAATTCCAAACCTGCTGGTCCCCACAACAATAGCAACTGTAGTTGGAAATGGCATCGCTCCCTGACCATAGCTAAGATTCCTGTTGCTACTTTGGAAATATCTGACTTTCCTGAGGATAAAGCTAAAGATTCTTTAAAAAGGTGTAAAAAGTTGCCATGAACCACAATACCTCCTACATAAAACCAATTAGATATTAGGTTGAGATCTTTAGCCTTGATAGCTGCTTCTGAATATCAACTAGCTTTTCTCACAACAGAGGTGTTAAAGTAAGATCATTCTCAACAGTCAGTAATCCTTGGATTGGCAAATTTCATCATCCATGAGATTGGATTTGATTTCCAAGACCGACGTATTTTCACAGAAAGGGAAAGAATGAAGAATATCTACAGCCATTTTGCCACCTAGGGAAAACTTTGACATGTGCATCCCAACAGCCAGTTCCATACAGCTTTTAATCTATTCAGTTCTACAATGTGGTATCATGAGGAAATTGACCTGAGTATGCAAAACATATTGCGTCCTGAAGCGTGAGAAGAGAAAATTCATGATTCTTTTTCTCAATGTAATTTCAAGCATTATTTAGAATATCCAACCTTGTTTCGAAATAGAATCATAGAAAATAAGGGCTGGAAGGGACCTCAGAAAGTCATCTAGTGAGTCTAGTCCAACTCCCTGGTCAAAGCAGGACCATTCCCAGCTAGATCATCCCAGCCAAAGCTTTGTCTAGCCAGGTCTTGAAAACCTCTAAGGACAGAGATTTTACCATCTCTCTGGGTAACCTGTTCCAATGTTTTACTACCCTCCTAGTGAGAAAATTCTTCCTAATATCTAACCTAAACTTCCCTTGCTGCAACTTGAGACCATTGCTCCTTGTTCTGTCATCATCTGCCACCACTGAGAACAGACTAGCTCCATCCTCTTTCAAACCCCCTGTCAAGTAGTTGAAGATTACTATTAAATTCCCTCTCAGTCTCCTTTTATCCAGACTAAATAAACCCAGTTCCCTCAGCCTCTCCACATAAGTCATGTGTCCCCTCACCATTTTTGTTGCCCTCCACTGGACTCTCTCCAATTTATCCACTTCCTTTCTGTCGTGGGGAGCCCAAAACTGAACACAGTACTCCAGATGTGACCTCACCAGTGGTATATAGGGGGGAAGAATTACTTTCCTGGAGTTACTAGCAATTCACCTACAGTGCAGCCCAGGATGCCGTTAGCCTTCTTGGTAACAAGGGCACACTGCTGGCTCATATTCAGCTTGTTGTCCATGTAACCCCCAGGTCCTTTTATGAAGAGTTCCTGCTCAGCCAGTCAGTCCCGAGCTTGTACTGGTGCATGGGATTGCTCTGTCCTAAGTGCAGGACTTTGCACTTGTAACCTCATGAGATTCCTTTTGGCCCAAACCTCCAATTTGTCTAGGTCACTCTGAATCCTAACCCAACCCTCCAGCATATCTACTACTCTCCCCAGCTTGGTGTTATCTGCAAACTTGCTGACGGTGCACTCTATGCCACCTTCCAGGTCGTTGATGAAGACACTGAATAAAACCGGCCCCAAGACCGATCCCTGGGGCACTCCACTTGATACCAGCTGCCAACTAGACATCAAGATATTGATTATTACCCTCAGAGCCCAATGCTACAGCCAGTTTTCTATCCACCTTACAGTCCGTTCATCCAACCTATACTGCCTTAGCTTGCCTGCAAGAATGTTGTGGGAGACCATATCAAAAGCCTTGCTAAAAACCAAGGCGTACCACATCCACAGGTCTCCTGGCATCCACAGAGCCAGTCACTTCATCATAGAAGGCAATCAGACTCATCAGGCATGACCTGCCCTTGGTGAATCCACGCTGACTGTTCCTAATCACCATCTTCTCCTCCAAGTACTTAGAAATAGATTCCTTGAGCATCTGCCCCATGATTCCTTGAGGATCTGCTCCTAGTTATTTGTCCAAGTTTCCACTTCTTATAAGCTTCCTTTTTGTGATTTAGTTTACTGAAGAGCTCCCTGCTAAGCCAAGCTGGTCTTCTGCCATACTTGCTAGTCTTCCTGCACATCAGGATGGTTTGTTCCTGCTCTCTCAGTAAGGTTTATTTAAAATACAACCAGCTCTCCTGGACCACTCTCCCCCTCAGACCGGCTTCCCAAGGGAACATGCCCAGAAGTTCCCTGAGCCTGCTTTTCTGAAGTCTAGGGTCCTTACTCTGCTGCTCTCCATCCTTCCTTTTCTCAGGATTCTGAACTCAGTTGTCTCACGGTCACTGCTGCCCATGTTGCCATCCACTACACATTCCCCACCATTTCTTCCCTCTGTGAGCAGCAGGTCAAAAAGAGCATGGCCCCTAGTTGGCCACTCCAGCACTTGTACCAGGAAGTTGTCCCCAACACTCCAAAAACTTCCTGCATTGCCTGCGCACTGCTATATTGCCCTCCTAGCAGATGTCAGGGTGACTGAAGTCCCCCAGGACAACCAGGGCTTGTGATTGGGAAACTTCTGCTAGCTGTTTGAAGAAAGCCTCATCTGCCACTTCCTCCTAGTCTGGTGATCTATAGCAGACCTGCACCACGAGATCACCCTTGTTGCTCTCCTCACTAACCCTAATCCAGAGACTTTCAACCTTAACCCAGAGAATTTCTAATTTCATACTGAAGCTCTAAGCAATCATATGGCCCTTTTACATAAAATGCAACTCTTCCACCTCTTCTCCCCTGCCTGTCCTTCCTGAACAGCTGGCACTCATCCATAACAGTGCCCCAGTCATGTGAGCTCCCACCATGTCTCTGTTATTCCAATTATGTCCTAGTTCTGGGACTGTGCAAGGACTTCCAATTCTTCCTGCTTGTGTCCCAGGCTCTCTGCATTTGTGTACAGGCACCTGAGGTAACTAGTTGATTTCCCTGATATCTCAGAACATGAGAGATTGCCCCCTCCTGCTTGCTGTTCCTCCATGTCTCCCACTTCCCCACTTACCTCAGGGCTTTAGTCTCCATCCCCCGGCAAACCTAGTTCAAAGCCCTCCTCGCTAGGTTACTGAGCCTGTCTGTGAAGACACTCTTCTCTCTTTGTCAGGTGGATCCCATCTCTTCCCAGCAATCCTTCTTCTTGGTGAATATATACTAAACTACTTCCCCTATTCTACAACTCAGGTTTTTCTATGAATGAAGATACCACAAGTTGATTTTCTTGTTTCCTTTAAGTTTCTCATACATATTTTCTTATTGACAAGGCCTCAAGAACAAGTTGACAGACATTTACCTCTAGTTAAGCAGGTCTAGAAAGTAATCATTTGCTTATTGTTTCTGCCTGGTTCTGTACTCTGGTTATTCTGAATAAGAATTCTGCCCTGGCAAACCTATGTTGAAGAGAAAGAAAGTCCTTCTACATTGGGAATTCCTTCAGATCAATCAGAGAACACAGAACAAAACATACAGCAAATAGCTGTTTGTCTTCTAATGTCTCCAGAGAATCAGACAACTAGACAGACTTTAAAAAGTAAAACATTCAGAAACATTTGATTACTGGTTGCTGTAAAGATGAATTTGCATACATCAACATCAGAATTGTTTAGCATTAGACACAGGAAATTCATTGCAACTTTCTACCCTCCATTTGTTCCCCACATGTTTATACTTAGAATCACAGATTTTATTTGGGTAAAAAGTATTGAACTGTAAGCACTCCTGTTTTAAGTATTCCATCCTAACTCTTTAGTGTTATTCACCATCAAATGTGTTTTTAGTAATCCCTCAGAGGTTAAAAATCCAGATCTTCCTCCACAATCTTACCCCTGCCTCAGTTAATGCATTCTGCATGAGTGAATCACAGAAAAATGTTAATTTATAAACACCAAAAGGTTATGAAAAGTTTGAATCACAAAAAATCCAAGTTTAAAAATAACATTCATTTGTGTCCTATATACCCTCTATCTTTCTGGTACCACGAGCTGGATCTTTGTAACAACAGAAGCTGGCAATGTTTAATATCAGAAAACATTAACAGATTTTAACAAAAGGGAAAGGGTTTTGCTTACTTGCTCCTTTTCTACAAGATCATATTCTAGTAATCCTAGAAGGAGAACCATTTCCTCCAGGTAGGAAAATGTAAAGGCAATCCATAACAGTGTAAGAACATGAACATTCTGTAAAACTGACTTCCTGGCTACACATTCTACCTCCACAGGCAACGAAGGCACCAAGATTAAGAATAAATAACGTCTCTAAATAACACCACAGACAAGAATGCAAAATCCAAATCTAATGCTGGGTATTAAGTGGAGAAAATATTTTCTTTTATCAACTTCCTTCCAACACAAAGAGGAAATGAGTTTCCAAATTTATAGAGATGCCTCACATATTTCCTTTGCAGACTGAGCTTCTCAGTTCAGGAAGAAAGACCACTAAAGTTTGTAACTGCAACGATTTTCTCTATGATCACTATGGAACTCTGCATACATATACCTTGCAGTGGTTCGGTGTGCATTCTTAACCCTGTCTACCTTGTGATAAGCAAGAGAATCAGAAGTCACTTTTCTTTCCTCGTAAATCTGTAGCACTCTAATGCATGAAAGAGAAAAGACAGAACAAGAGGCAAGTAGACTGATACACAAATTGAAGAATGAAGGCATGGCAGAACACCAAGTATGTCAAACTGTCTACAGCATAAAAAAGGAAAGGTGCCTAGCTTTCTCTTGCATGTATACAAGAGGCCACATTGTCCAGAACAATGAGTATATCCACACACACACCCACACACGCACACAAAAATCAAGGTCTGATTATGACATTTTTGCTAACTTAATCTAGTGAGAACAAGTAATGGTGACTGTGACACTGCAAAAGTATGGGTTTAGCATGTGCCAGTGACCAGAGTGTGTAACCAAGGACCTTCGCTGCTATTGTTACTGACACCAGCTAGAATGAGTTGGCATAAGTAGATGAGCACATGCTACAATCACACCTCAATTTTGCTATGGGCACATACCCTGCAACCAAGCCCTACAAGCTGCTTCAAAGAGCATGACCACAGCACTGCCCAAGGACCAGAAGAATGCTTGCTCTCATGGACTTATTTTATAATAATAGGCAATCATTTGGGTCTCTGTGGCCACACATCATTTGTCCCTGGTCAAGGTGTGCCTGTGCTTGTCCTGGAACAGAAATGCCCTGGGATTGGCATGTACACACATCGGCCTTCTAATCAGGGTTTAGCGAGCAGTTGAATTCACTGACACTTTTCTGTCAATGATTCAAAGATATAATCCTGGGAAAAAAAACTGTTCAGATGCACTTTGCGATGTCCCAGGATAAACTCTTAGTACTTCTTATCCTATGAACCTTTTTAGGATTTATCCCAGGACAATGGACATGGACATCAGAATGACTGCATTTTGTCCCGGGGCAAAATGGTTCATTCCGGAACAATTGTGATGTCTGTTTATCAGTTGAACAGGGAAGGGGATATTACTTTATACCAGAAGGCTAGAAGCTAATGTAAGCGTAAATACACTGGAGAATGTGAGGCACCATTTGGAAAAATCCCAAGCTACCTGAAATTTAGAGCAAAAAAGGTGTTTAGGAAAAAATAACCTCCTTTCTCTCCTTTGCTCATAACCATTACTATCAGAAGTAGAGAAGCAAAAGACTTAATTCCTTTTGCAGTTACTTCAGCTGACTTGTCAACACGAAGACAAAATGCCTGCTTACAGACATAACCCCTCACTCCACCCAACACAGCACTTTACTTTAAACTCTCTGCATTCTTGTGCTGAGCCCAGGCATGTCCAGAAGAGGCACTGCGTTAGTTTGACCCCGCTTGCCCAACATTTGTATAGATCACGCGCTCCAGTGGGGCTTTTTTGGCACTTTTAGCTAATAGCTGATTGAATCAGCTATTCGGTAAAAGTGCCAAAAAAGCCCCACTGGAACGCATGATCTATACAGATACTGCAGAGCTGAGTCAAACTAACATGCTGCCTCTTCTGGTAAAGCACAGTTTTATTTTTTTTTCCTCACATCTGTCAGCAGCCATTATGGCTAAAACTGAAAAGAGAAAAACCTGAAAAACAAACACTTTGAGTCTTGTCTTGTTTAAGCAGAGATACTGTAACTTTCACTGTCCTGCTGAAGCAAAAGCTTCAGTTTACTGAACTGACAGCTCCAGACGGCCTCTATATCTGACCAGCAGGCGGAGCAACCCATCTGTTACAATGACAAGCTACTGGGGGGGGGGGGGTTAA